CACCACAGCTCAAAGGCATCAATAGACAATCCAATACGACTATACAAAATTAGATGTAAATATCACAATCTACATAAGCTATAGCTGAGTATTTGGATAGTATTTTGCATTTTATTGGAAGATGAAATACATGGATTAGATATTCTAGCACACTTTTATCATAGTTTGAATTAAAATTGAAAAAATATTGCAGGTTTTACACTTGAACATTCAGTGATTAAGTCTCTGATGTTTATTGATTCTCTGAAAAAATACTTGATATATAACTTACTATGTGTCAGAGAGCTAGACAATGACTAAGGATGAAATAAGAGTAATTGATGCCCATGAGTTGTGCTGGAGAAAAGTGTTGAACATACCGTGGACTGCCAGGGGTCCAGAGTAGTCAGTCCTGGAGAGGATGAAGCCAAGCTGCTCCCTGAAAGCAAGAATTTTGATGCTCCATCTCACATTCTTTGGGCATGTGGCCAGGAAGGACCAGCCCTTGGAGAAGAACATCTTGCTTGGAAGGGTTGAGGGACGATGTAGGATAAGAAGACCAAGGATGAGATGGATTGATACAGTGACTGGAGAAGTGAGATTGGGTCTGTTGGAGACTATGAATTTGACTCAGGATAGGATAGATTTTAGAGCTGTTCTACATAGTGTCACTATGAGTTGCTGGCAACTCAACAGAAGATACTGATGGTAGAAATAAGACCAGAAATAGAATGATCAAATTTTGTACCTTCAATGACTTATTCTTCACTAATACCTTTTTAAAAAAAATACAAACAGTGATTTTTATATCCATGGACGTTACCAGATGAACTGCACTGGAATCCGATTGACTACATCTGTGGACGGAATCATTGGAGAAGCTCAGTATCAGCAGCTAAAACAAACCAGGTGCTGACTGTGGATCAGATCCTCAATTACTCATGTGCAAACTTAATTTGAGGCTGAAAAAATGTAAACCATTCATCAAGAACCAAAATATGATCAGTTTAAATTTCTGAAGACAGGAAAGGATAAGATAGGACTAATAGAACTGAGAATTATAGAGAGTGATGGGGAGAGTGTGATCAGATTGGGACCATTATAATTAACGTAATAATACAAAATGTGTATGATTGTTGAATTAAAAAGCAATCTTCTTTGTAAAAATTCATTCAAATCACAAGTTTTAAAGTAAAGAAAAGTAAAGAATAATGTTCACCCTAGTTTGAGATACTGTTTATTCAAATTTTGTGTTAAAATTTATTTACACTCTTATTACTCATGCTGTGTTAAAATGTAATCTGAAAGTTTCATAATATTCAGTTTATTCTTATTTCATTATTTCTGGCTCTAAACCAGTTTTAAAACTCTTCTTAGTTTCACCTTGAGCCAAAAAAAATGAAGGAGACTTTATAGAGGTTATCTTAGGCACTGCTAATCTTTTCTTTACATTTCATGACTTTACTCACAGGTATCCATTCCTTACTGCTCAATAAATTTTCAGCTTTATCCTAAGATTGTCATAAAAAGCAGTAATCAAAATGGATACATGCACTTATCAGTATCAGGAAAAGGATTAATACAAATACAACCCATCTGTGACCAATCCAATTTCAACTGAATTGTGTAATATAAAGACATAAGTTATTTTCTGTATGTGTCTATGATGGGGAGAGAGGGTAGGAAAAATTCTGAAATTAATTTTCACTTATGGATTGAAATGAGATGCTTCTGGATGCCAATGTGCACTATTTCCAAACATAAATAGAAGATTCTTTAGAGAAAGGAACATGTTTCTTTTTCAGAGTACTGGTCTGATAGAAATGGGCAAGTTACAAATTGGCTATCGGAAATGGAGAGATTAAGAAATGAAGTTGCTGTTTTATTCACTGTCTCGACTATAGTTATTATGTATTGTAAGGAGAAAGTTAATTCTTTAAATATGAATGTTAATGGATAAAAAGCCAGAGGATTATCTGTGGTGTTAGGTGTTTATTGTTCAAAATACCTTTCACAGTCATTGTGTTTGACTATGCCATATGAATGGATGGAATATTAGAGTAGGGTGTGCTAGTCTCTCCACAGGGAATTGGCTGTTCTCACCATTAAATTGAGCAGATCCATCAGTAGAATTGGAGAATCTCACCACCAGCAAAGAAAAGCCAGAGAATACACATGTACTTCGGGTCAAAGATTCTTGTGACAACCAGACCAGAACCAGAAACTTGATATGAGGCAGGGCTGACCTTGGGACTCCTACACACGGAACTGGAGCGAAGAATCTTTTGCCCAAGTCTATCGAGGCAGACGGAGGCGTAATTGGCCTTATTAGGAGCCTAAAGCCACAAGGCTGAAGATAGAGGTGACTGTTGAGCACATTTTGAAAGCTGCCCTAACTGATGACTTTACTCTGCTACTAGGATTTAAAGCTTTTGGACCTCCCTAATATGGTTCTGTGTAGTATGTGAGCTATTGCAATGCATTTTGGACTCAGTAAAGAAGTAAGACTGATATTAGGATGAGGAGAAAGAGACATGTAAGAGTGGGGGACATGCATAACCTCATGGGAATTAGTTCACATTCCTAATGTTGATAGGGAGAGTTTCCTTTTGTGGAGTTGGGAGAGGCCTGATGTGTCTGAACTACTATTGTTCTTGGTCATATTACATTCAATATTTGTCCTTTTGAGGTTTAGTTATTTTACACATAATGATGCTTTCTAGACTATGCTGAAGCACATTGTTGTGATAGGATACTATCCATTCGCACACTCCTTAATATGACTATTTTTCAAATACACACACCCACAACCAAAGCTAAAGAGGAGTAAAAATTGAAGATTTTTACCAAATTTTGCAATCTGAAATTGGATTTTTACTAAATTTTGCAATCTGAAAATTGATCAAAGATGCAATAAATATGTGTTAATGATAACTAATGACTGGAATTCAGAAGTTCAAAGCACTGAAAAAGGAATAATAGGAAGTATTGATGATGGAAATAATGTTGGAAATAGAATGATCAAATTTTGTACCTTCAATGACTTATTCTTCACAAATACCTTTTTAAAAAAAATACAAACTGATTTCATACATGGATATTACCAGATGGATTGCATTGGAATCCAATTGACTATATCCGTGGAAGGAATCACCGGAGAAGCTCAGTATCAACAGTCAAAACAAAGCCAGGTGCTGACTCTGGATCAGATCATCAATTACTCATGTGCAAGCTCGATTTGAGGCTGAAGAAAGTATAAACAATTCCTCAAGAACCAACATATTATCAGTCTATTTCACCTGAATTTAAAAATCATCTTAAGAATAGATTTGAAGTATTGAACACCTATGATCAAAGAACAGATGTGTTGTGGGATGGCATCATGGATATTATCCCTGAAGAGAGCAAAGGGTCACTACACAGTAGAGAATAAAGGGAAAAAAACGAAAACAGATGTCAGAAGAGACCCTGCAAATTGCACTAGAGTGTCAAGAAGCCAAAATAAAGGAAAGAGATGGTGAAGTCAAAGAGCTGAACAGATT